GCTTAACGCAAAAGGGGAAGTGCAATCAGTTAGGATTTCACATTCAGAAATAGCGAGAGCTCCGGAACACAAAAAACATGAATAAGCTCTAATTCACTCTGGCTGTACAGTGTGTCGAATAACGTTCAAATAATCACCGCTCATTTCAGAGGGAAAATCAACAAGTCGCCAGTTTCGTAATTTCCCACGTACAGGTGAGCAAATGATGGTAATGCTGTGAGGGACCAGGTAAAAACTGATGAGTTTATGAACTTCAGCGCTGGCATGACCCGAAGCTTCAGTGGGAGCCGGAAAAGTTCAATGGCCTACGACAGGTAGTGATGCCACAAAACCTCGTCTGGGTGCCCAAGTTATTCATCTACAACAGGTGCGTCTCGCCTATCTACATACATATGTACGTTTATCAAATTTGAATTCACAAAAACATGCCGACTGAATAGAGAATCTCCTCGGTTTTTCCTGTTTCCATTCAAATATTCTTCAAAATTTCGCTTGAACTACGGATTTGATTGTGTTGCGAGGCATGAAGTGCTGAGTGAACATTCCAAACTACACAGACAGTGACTGTAGTGACAGATTTTGAGCAGAAAAACACTATTGCGACTTCCTTTACTGACTGGGACCAATGGTACATTGTATTTTCATCGCACAAAGATGAAGTAATGAAACATGGAGCTTTTTTGAATTCTTTATCTCAAGTTCATTAGCAGAAGAAGTCAATTTCTCAGTGGTGTAAAGAATCCCACTTAGTCGTCATTAGAATATGTCCGGGAAGTGGTATCTGTTTGGGAACTCTCACGGCGATCCATGAGGCAATTACCATGACCCCTCACTGGAAACCCAAACATCCTTCACAGCGCCCTCAATCGGTCACCGCAAGCGTAGTACATCGTTCGGGGATAAAATACCACACCCGATATGACAAACTCACAGTTCAGCATGGACACGAAAGATATGCTCACTGAGGATCGCTACGATGTTCGAGTTCAACACACTGGCCACGTGAAGATCAACATTCCACAGTTTGTTACCACTCTTTGTAGGATCGATATCGATCTGTTTCCCTTCGATACACAGGTTAGTGGAGTTGTTCCCTGCTTACAAATCCCATAATGAAGGGTATGTTTTGTAGTTTTGTGCAATCGCATTAGCATCCCCGCTACTGTCGGTAGAAGAAATGGACGTGAACGCAACACAACCGCCAAAAGACTCGTACTTCTCGGTGAGCAATCCATTTTGCAGTATTAAGGGAGGCAAATGGGACTTCTCAAAAATTTGCAGGGAAATGCTGAGTGGGAGGTGATTAATGTGACTGTGCGACAGATGAAATTCATGGAAGATGGTGAATATCGTGCTGAGGTGAGCTGAGCAGCGCATTTTAAAGCGTTTCAGGACTCTTTCGAATTTCAGGTGCATTATATTCTACATCTGAATCGTCGTCCTATCTACTACATAACTGTCATCGTTGTGCCGACATTCCTTATCTCGGCTCTCTCGATTTTGGGAATTTTCTCACCGGGATCAAATGACGGGCCGAGAAATGAGAAGGTAAGCCTCAGTGGGTACTGGACCGAGAGGGATATTCCTAAAGGAGTGAGTCAAAAAGCAAAGCAAACAAGTCCATGAGTTAAACGTTCTTTCTTTATCTTCATAAGCCTTTCGTACCCCAGCACCATGACGGAGTTTTCCTGCTTTGTGTTTTTCATTACTTTTCTAAAAAGGCTTTTAGGTTTCCTTGGGACTTGGTTCTTTGCTAGCCATGACGGTACTCCTAGACATCGTTGCTGGTGCAATGCCAAAAAGCAATTCTATACCTCTTTTAGGTGGGTTCTTTCTTCGGTCTTCTCTTCTGAACATGCAACGCATTGCTGGAGGCAACGGCAAAAAGATTGGAGCAAACCCGCCCACCTTGTTGATTAGCCTTCAGGCTGTGATTATAGTAGAGTAGCAAGAAGGCGCAACGAAAATATGCGAGAGCTTATCTGGTCTGATTATAGGATTTGCATTATTTTTTACATACCATTTGTCCAACCTGCAACTTTCACCGCCAAGACCCGTAAGCTGTCATATGGG